ACCTCACCCCCGGTTACTACCGGCACATCCTCGGTTAAGAAACGTGCAAGACCGAGAGTAGTGAGATAGAAGAGCATCTTTTGCTGCCACCTCTTGAAGTTTAACCCATTAAATTTTTCGGGTTTCTCCCGGGGTGCTAGGAGCGTTGCAACGATCGTTTCCCAGGATACGATGACTTCGAACAATAGTTTAGCACTCAAACTAAAGTTCCAACGAACGTGAACAAAAGCAGAACACCGAAGGAGTTTGTATGAAGTTCTAGAGGTGCTGTTTTAGTTATGAAAATACGTGAACGAAGTGTATGAAAGGTTGTGTCTTTGAAAAGCACCTACTAACCTTTTATAGGGGTGGATTAAGGTGTGTTAATGACTGTTTAAGGGTTATGATCGTTGGACATCAATGTCCTAAACGTTGGGCATTGATTCCAGTCCTTAAACAACCCAAAACGTTCATATGAACGTTGAGACATCAATGACAGCATATAGACGTTGGGCATTTATGTGCATGGAGCAAAAATTAAAGTAGGAACGTGCCGGAAGAACAAAAATTAACGTTAGGAATCTTAACTCCTTAGGGGGGGGGGGGGGTTTCCCTTTATAAAGGGTTCAAATTCCCTTGTGATTTTCGGTGTGGGAAAGAACCCACACTAAAACCCACATTTTCCTCGTTTTCTCCATTCCAACGGGTAAACTTCGAAAAACAATTTCTCATTCACCCATTATCCGTTTTGAGTGTACCATATATCGAATTGTAGCCCTTAGCAAGGACAATCCGAAACCACTTTGACCCGACCCAAATCGGAAGTGGACCTCACTCAAATAATTGCCCCAAAAGACCATTTAATACACTTTTAACACACTTTTTCCAACACCTAATTGACAAATTTTACCTTTATATATATATATATATTTGTTTCATGTTAAAGGTCAACATTCTTGTTTGAAAAAAAATCCAGTCATGTATTCTTCTATTTAAGAGTGTCACAATAGTACTATGGTATCACAAAATACTTCAGTATTGCATGTCATGAGTATTAATGATTGTAGTCTAAAATATGGTGTCCATAAATCTCCAAATAGAAATAAACAAGACAAATGCAGTAATTTTGTAGACATACCCTAAAAGGATTTAGAGACTAGTTATAGTAGCTTGTTCGTCATAGTTGTTAATTGTTATGGCAACAAATATATACCCACATTAATTTCCCAAAAAAGTTAAGTGCAACTTAGTAACTTACCCTTTCAAGAAATAATTTTGTGTTTTATGAAATCCCCTTTCATCATCATAAGCAAGATATGTCTTTATGTGTAAGAATGTGTAGCTAAGCTGTGTTAAAAAATTAACGCACATATCAGCAATTATGAAGATTAATATTCTTTAGTCAAATAGTGTTTGTTTCCTAAAAATAAAAAGCAAAGCATTGAATTTTACAAGAATCAAATTAAGACAATTACTTAACAAATTATACCTTTTTAGGTGACTAGCTTCAAAATTTTAAAAGAGAACTAAGAAAAGTAATTTCGAACAACGCAAAAAAAGAAATAGATAAGTAATATGGAATGAAGGGGTATAAGAATGATCAATTTGTACATAGAGCAGACATTGATCTATATGACACTGCTTTATTTAATATTTAAATAAATTTTTCATTTATATTACACAACTTTTCTTATTAAGGTTTTTTACTTATAACACCGTTTACTAATCAAGTATCATGATACTAAAACAATCAAATATCATCATACTAATTATATTTATTCATACATAAAAACCAACGTTTAAAATTATTATTTCTTTTGTTAATACTCCCTCCGTATTTAAAAAATCCTTATATTAAGTTTTGGCACACTGTTTAAGGAGGAAATAGTAGAGATAATGAATAGTGTGAAAAAAGTAGGAGAGGATGTGAAAAATAGGAAAGAAGAGATCAAAAGTAGAAAAAGTAAAGGTAAATAGGATATTTTTAAAGGAAAAAGTTACTAAAAAGGGAAAGATTAACAAACTTTGAAATACATCTCAAATACCAAAATGTAGCAAACTTTTAAATATAGAAGGAATATAACAACATAAACAAAAAAAATTGGTCTTCTTAAAGGTAATTATTAACAAGCTGATGGTCCCAAGTGAGGTAGAAGTCTAGACAGGGGTGAATAAACTTCTAAAAATCTTTTCTTTTTCAACCCTTTTCCCTCAAACAGAATGTGTTCCAATATCTTTTGGGAGATATTGAAACATACAGCGGAAGTCTTGACCTCAAGAGTGTGACACTTTATAGGAACAAAGGTTATGACCCTTTTAGTTGTAACAGAGATGGGTGGACAAAACACTTTTGTGTGAAGGATTAATACCTACTGTCATAGATCTCTTTGTAGTGCGTAGGTAAGGAGTTTTGGTTCACAGAAAACTTTAGGGAGTTTTTCTGGACAGTGAATATGCAAGCCTTTGGGATAATGTGAAGGTGGGTGAGAACTGAAGTATTTGTTGGGTGCTGAATATAAAAGGTACACAAGATATATCCTGGTTCAGAGGTGGTGTAATCCTCCTACATCCAGTCCCAACCTATTTCAGATGGATTTTCCACTAAATGAATATCCCATTACATTTAGTGTCCAATCTACCCCTGGCCCGGGCGTAGATTGTGACGTTTTTCACGAGGAACCACACTGTTCCAAGCTACTCATGTCCTCCAAGGTTTTTCACTAATGACTTGCCCAGCCAGAAGCTATTCATGTCCTTGCCTCACCTTCTGAATGATCACACACATACCAGAATGAATACACTAGACTAGTTTACATGAGTTTAAACTAATCTACCAACTAATCTAAGCTCTATTGATGTCTATGAATGATAAGCTATTCTAAGAGCATTAGATGAGTGGGGTGGTAGCCAGAGTGGTGAAGGTGAATCAGCTAGCTGGATGTTTTCTTGTAAACCTTGATTCCCTTCTGTTCCACTAGGTTCCAATATACCAGGGTTTGTTGCCATCTGGTGCCACACTTGGTCTTCCCGCACTCCTTCTGTATTTATAGACTTTGTTGTTGAATCTTCTCCATTGGCTGAGTGATCCAATCTCGATCGTTGCTTGATCTACTTGCTTTGTTCCACTTGACTGGGCAGCATGGTTGATTCTTGTCTTCTTGTGACACGGATCATTTTATCTTCACTCAACTTGATTCCTCATTTCAAGGAAAAGATAAGATGATTTATCTTTATCTTTTTAGCTTACAGAAATTTAGTATCTAGGCCAAGTGTTGTTCAATGCTTTCCTCAAGATAAGATTACTTGCTTTTAGTAAATAATGTTATAAGAAATTTTGTCACATAATTTCTTGTAACATTATTTTCTATGTATTCTGTCATTCTGACTGCAAGTGAGTCTTCTATCTTCTTGTTTTTGTGCTAAGAGAAGAATAGTAGATGTTGAGTTTCTGATTAGAATACCTCAATAGAATACCTTACCAGAATACCTATGAGGTCTTCTGTTCTGATGTCAACAGAGAACCACCTTTGTTTGAGGTTCTCTGTTACGATCATAACAGAAGGTCTTCTGGTATATATCAGAGACCTTTACTTTGGTGTCACCAGAGTTGATCAGTTCTGATGTCCATCAGAGTTGAGGTTCTCTGGTATGACCAGAAGGTCATTGAAGGTTCTCTGATTAGTTTATTCAAAAGGGCTTTAGTTGACTTTTTCATACCTTTTTCTTTTTGTCCCTTTTTCTCTTTGTTTTATGGTACGTTTCTTCTCTTTTTAGTACTCTCTATTTTTCTTGAGTACTTTATCACTTTTGAGCAAAAAGGGGTGGCGTCATCAAAACAATACTTGTTAATCAAAATCTAGGGGACCTAACAATTTCTCCCTTTTTGATGATGCCAAAAACTAGAATACAAAACACTAAAAAAGGGAAAGATTGTCCTAAGTGTTTGTTTCTATTTTCCCCCTTTTTCGCAGTATCGACTATCTACTCCTGATGTCTTCCAATGAGGATGTCAGCTACCTTCCTCTTCTTACGTCTCTCATATGCTTCCTCGAGGTGATGACGTTTGGAGTGATAGGCTCTGTTGATAAATTCCATTGAGAGTGCAGTCTCAATGTTTCCTGTTTTTAACTAGCCCAGAGCAAATCTTTCTTCATCCACCATTTTAGGTGCATTGAGGACGAGTTCTTCGAAGGGAGACATTCTCCACATTCTCCAGTCCAGCTCTCTTAGTCGTTCCTTGAGTAATATCTCCTTTTCGCTTGCCAGATAGATTTTTGTTTCAAGATCAATGAACCTTTCGTCTGGCAAGTTTGTTGGAGCTCTTCTCTGTGGTGCTGATGGCTTTGGAGGTGTGAGTGTAGGTTCAAAGGATATTTTGTTCATTGAGGAATCCATTTGATTTAGAGTATGATACTTCGTAGGATATTCTTAGGATGATGAGCTTTTGAGAGTGAGGTTTATATGTGGTGCTAAGAACGTATTTATAGTTATCATGCTTCAGTTTGCATTTAATTGCGTTGTGGCAATCGAAGCGTTTCTTCATTAATGATCTTACGGTTGTCTCTCTTCTTATAGCAAGTTTCTCTAAATAGGAGTAAATTTCTGACAAGGCTATTAAACATGACATTTTTTCCAAACTTGGCAGATTACTCCTATTGAAGAAATAAAAAACATGATACTCCTATTTTGGAATTTAAGAGCATTTTTACTCATATTTAGGGCAATTTCTACTCTTATTTTATTCTTACTTTATTAATTCAAAAACTTGTGTGGTTTTATTTATTTTTTTAACTTTATTAATTCAATATTAACCATCTAAGCTCACTTTCTTAATACCATATATTTTTGTACGGCATATAGTGGCCTAGAATAACTTGCATGTAGTTGACAATAGGAACATTTGGGTACACCCACTTTTTCAGGTAGTAGCACTATAACCTAAAGATGAGTGGAATTTTTCCACAATTGTCATCATCAAACCAACCCACCCCTGCATTTCCACTACATAAAATAGGTTGTCCCAAAATCATAGCACATTTTCATTTGCCAATTCTCCACTTTAAAAAGAAATGCAATTCCCAGAATTCCAAGAAGGGAACCACCACTACTTCATAGGAAAGAGCAATGCCAACGCCCTTTCCGGCGAAGATGACCGGCGAGAGTTCGAGAGCCTCCGACGAGCACTGATGGTCGAGAAATGGATGGAGAATTTCACCGGGGACACTGTTCCGGCGGCATCGGCTCGCTTCGGCTCCGACCCATACCCGCCCCTGTCTTCCTCCTCCAGAGAACATTCCGATAATGCCAGAAAATCGAGCGTTGTGAGGTATCCCGGCGACCTGAATCGGCTCAATAAACAGCCAATTTCTCCCGGCAGAAAGCTCTGCAAGTTGCTCAACTCAATCTTCGGGTCGAAAATCAAACAGCGCCGGGAAGAGGCAGGGGAGAGAAGCTCCGTGAGGAAGTCGAAATCGATGAAGGCCACCGCGACGAATCCCCCGACGCCTTGCTTGAGCAAAACGGCGTCGTCTAAACCGAAAAGATCTGTTCGGTTTTGCCCCGTCGACGTCATTCTGGACGATAGCAGTTTCCGGCCGGGCAAGGCGGTGCAGAAAGGAAACGGCGATGACGACGGGAGTAGCTGCCATAGCTCGGATCTGTTTGAGCTGGAGGGCATCGGGATCGACGGCGGCGTGGAGGCGATTAGTGGGGACGAACTGCCCGTTTATGGAACTATCAGAAGCGATATGATGAAAGCGAAAGAAGCCATTTCTCGCCGCCGGCTGTATATGTAGTTTCGCCGTGAATTGTACGGACACGTCACTGCACTTTCATACCAGCGTCATTTTTTTGTACAACGGGAAATATCTATACACGGGTCTTTGTAGTTGAGACTTTAGACTTTAGATCGAGAGTCTACTTACGCTGTTGCAATAAAAATAAGAGAAAATTAGCATTGATTTGATTAAGACTTAGGCTGTGTTTTTGCAAATGATTCTATGATGAAGCACTTGTAGTTTTTTTTTGTTAAAAAAGCCGATTAGATGCGATACACATTTCAGCTTAAATTTAAACAATTTTAAGGCAAAAGTTGAAAGCAGTCATTAGATGCTTTTATGTGCTCCTAGAGTTTAGTAAATAATTGGAACTTTAGAAAAAGTTATTATTGAATTAATTCCACTTTTGATCCTATGAATTTTATGTTGATGATACATTTAGTCCACGTCTTTCACTTTGGATACTGGAGTAATGTTTCTTGATCATTTGTGGTCCTTCTACGGTGATTTTTAATTATCAGAAACGTTGTAGGAAAGATCATACATGGTCAAAAACACAATAGTCATGTATCAAAGATGATAAAAGTCAAAGTCGTGGATCAATTGTTGAATTAGTGCAATATTTGTAGGATCAAAAGTTGAATTTATTCAAAGTTAGTAGATTAATGATTTCTATTACACCCAAAATGCCCTCATTCATCCCTGCACTGCATCCCTCTCCTACACAACATCCTATTTGCGCATCAACCATCAGCCCTCTTTCTTCTCCAACAATGGCGAGACCGACCCCTAGAACAAGTTGAAGTCCTTAGAAGAAGAGAAATGGCGTGGAGAGTAGCAGCAAGCATCGTCCGACCTCTGCAGGTCACCAAGCTGGGTTTCCCTACCACCCACACATTTCCGATTTGGCAGAACACGATGTTCCAACGACAAACTTTGCCAGCTCTAAGTGTTCCGACCGAGGAGCATCCGCATCCAGGTGGATTAGGTAGTACTTAATGGGGTGGTAGAGGGGGTACAGTAGGCGGCACAACCTCGATACGTCACCCTGGAAGCGGAGATCAAGTAGGCGAAAGACACGAGATATTTTCTCCACTACTGTTGGTCACCGGAATTAGGACGAACAAAGAAGGAGGTGGTTGGGCGCAGAATGGCGATACTTATGTGGGAGACTTGAGTGAGCATAAAGAGGAGGGACACGAGAAGAGATATAAGGATGAGGCTGTTCTTGAAGAGTCTCACACTGCTCATTGTTGCTAGTGAGGTGAGCATTGGCTTAGGAAGAAGTAGTTGGTGTGTGGAGTTGAAGGAGGTTTTTCTTCAACCAGGGACTCTGCCTTCCAATCGTCTAGAGAAAGTCATGAAGACGAGGCTCCAAATAATTGGATTAACAAGGATGTTTTTGTCTTTTAACAATATATTCCCTCTATTTCTAAATGAAAGTCACACTTTGATTTCACATATGTTAAGGAAATACATTTGCTCAGCAGTAAAATTTACTGCATATTACACTGTTTTGACATTGTTTGGAATGGTTTGCACTGTTATGTAGTGTTTTGATATAGATTTGTTTACCGAATAACGAAGTTTGACTTTGTTTTGACACATCCAAAAAAGGAAAGTGTGACTTTCATTTAGAAATGGGGGGAGTATTACCTTAAACATTTTTTTACCAAATACTTCCACTTTTACTTTTGAATCAAAATCACATCTATTTGTAAACACCACCTACTTTTACTATAACTCACTTTTCAAATAATCTCTGAAACAAATCATTTTAAGGCTAACATCCTTGAATTGGAATGTGATTCGAACCTGCGACTTCCTCCTTGAGAGTGTCATAGTGATGCCATCAAACCACAATTCAAGGCACTTGCAACTAATATGCTCTTAACTTATTATTATACGTAGCAATTAAATTCTAACTTCCTACTTTTTTATCGATCGATCAATTGACTTGCTTCTCTCGATCTTTGCCTCTAGTCACGCCGTCTGCAACCAATTATGTGTCGTCGGCCCGTAAGCTGCCTACCATTGCTAGTCAATGCCTTCATTCCTTTATCTCAACGCTTAGTTATTAGCTATATCATTCATCACCACCACCGTCACTACTACTTTCTTCTTGAACTTGTGCAGTGACGTCGGCAAAATGAAATAGAATGGGTGGGAAGGGACATAACTTTGGTGGGAAGTACAACGATTCTGACGGGAAGTGTAGTAATATCAAGGAGTAATGTCGACATGAGGTGCAATATATTTAATTGGACAAAATTAGTGTAATATACACCTTTTGTAAAGCTATTTTTGTCCTCTAACACTTTATTATGATAAGATTTTTTTATTTTATTTTGCTTTTCAGTCATATAAATGACTAAAAATATAATCATATTTAGAAAAACTCACTATAATTTAGTCATATACCGAGAATTTCCCAAACTAACGACTTGATTGGGCATAAAATATATTGAGTCCTATATTAGTGCAATACGAAAACATAAGAGTTTGGTAGACTTTACTCATTTTATTGTGATCACTTATTTTTATGATTTTTTTTAATTATTGACACCATTATGAAAATAGTGATCATAGTAATGACAATAAATTATACTCATTATAATTACTCATTCATTGTGTCACAAAAAGACTACAAAAAGTAAAAAAAATGTACATATACTGATATACATATAAGGATGAGGCAATTTTCATGAACCCAAAAGCCCATTGATTTCCATTAATAAAACTCATCTATCAATTTGGGGAGATTTTTTTATAGCTTCTATTGGCTTTTATCCGTCTTTTACCTGGAGGAGCATTTTTGAAACTCAGGAGATGATTCGAGAGGGGGTTAGTTGGTAGGCGGGGCAGGGAACTTCAATTTGGATTTGGGAGGATCCGTGACTTTCGGATAAGGGAAATCCATACATGGAGATTCTTTGCATTGATGGGTTGGGGTTGGCTATGGTGGATGATGCTATTAGGATGGATAAGAGGGACCGGAATGGGATAGAGACATTGTGCAAGACTTGTTTGGATGGAGGGATATCAATTTAATTTCCAGTATACCACTTAGCCAGAGGGATGTCCCAAATCTGTTTATTTGGAGGTGGGATCCGCGTGGGAAGTATTCTGTTAAAAGTGGTTATATGCGACTGGTGGGAGAGATGGGAGATGGTGTGTGGATGGGATGGACGGCCATGTGGCGCTTTGAGTTACTTCCAAAGGTTAAATGTTTCATTTGGCAAGCGTGCAGTTGGTGTCTTCCTACGGTGGTTGCGTTGATGCAGAGGAGGGTGGAATGTCCCGGTGAATGCGGTGTGTGTAGGGTGGACGATGAATCGGCATTTCATTTATCTGTTCAATGTGATGTGGCGGTTATTTTATGGCAAAATTGGGGTTGAACTAGGTCGGACTAGATGTCTTGACATTCTTGGATTGGGTGCAAGTTTTCTTTTTGAAAAGGAATGTGGAGGACTGTTGCAGAATGATTATAGTTTGTCGGAGTCTCTTGAGGGCGCACAATGACCAAGTGTGGAATTCTATGCATCTGGCTTCCTACCGTATTTGGGAATAAGCTATGATGTTTTGGGAGCGGTGGAAGCAAGCAAGGTACCGAGTTGGCATGGTGCAGGGGGTAGGTTCTAGCAGCAATGGCGGGGTTGGTCTGAGCATGTGGCAACTAACGGGGGAAAGTAAATTGAAGTTAAATGTAGATGTGTCAATCGGGGGAGTAAAACGGGATTTTGGGTGGGCTGTTCGGGATTTGGCTGGAAGCTTTGTGGCGGGGGTGGCTAAATCATGGTATGATCACTTTTCGGTTAGAGAAGGAGAGATGCTTAGCATCAGAAGGCTGGGACAACATGGAGGTGGAATCAGATGCGCTTCAGGCTATGTCGGAAATCTTGCATAGGAGTAGTTTTACAACTTTTGGATTGATTGCGAGTGATATTAGATAACTTATAGCTTATTTTAATAGCATTCATTTTTCTCATGTTAGATGATCTGCGAATCGGTTGCTCAGGAGCTAGCTAGAGTAGCAGGTTCTATCTCTAATTGTTGTGTTTGGTTCGGGGTTCCTCCCTCTTTTGTTTTTCTTGTTTTGACTCATGATTTTTTTAATAATAGCTAAATTTGTTGCTTCCAAAAACAATCTGGCCACAAAAAGCTGACCAGTTTTCCACACCGTAGATTAAATCATACTATCTTTGTCTCATTTTAATTGTCATGTTTTCCATTTACTTGGTCAACATAAATTGTTCTTAATTGTTTACTTTATGCATTAAACTTTTACTCCCTCCGTCCCTTATAACTTTTCCAACTTTCCTTTTTTGGTTGCCCCAAAAACTTTGCCACTTTCCATTTTAATAAATCAATTTGTGGCTCCTATTATTTCTCACTTCTCTGCACAAATATCTACCACACAGTTTTTACTTTATTATTTTACGTGCCGGTCAAACTTGGCAAACCTTCAAGGGACGGAGGGAGTATCAAATTTGAGTTTTTTTATGATCTTGTAAAACTTTAATGTAGTTTCTGAATATGTAAATTTTATTGACTAAAAATAATTTGAGTGTTGATTGGATCAATTTTTTTATCATCGGTCAAACATCGTAAACTGCAACGAGAGTATCAAATTGAGATGGATGGATCATAAATATTCCAAAACCCAAACCAATGTTCATCAAAAGCCGGTTGATTTTCCACGTTGTAGTTTAATTACTCCCTCCGGTCCTAAATAAACTTCACACTTTGACATCACACAAATTAAGGAAATAAATTTGACTTTATTGTAGAGTACACTATTGTGACACTGTTTGGCACTGTTTGACACCATTTTGCACTGTTTTGATGTAGATAATTTGTCAAATAAGGAAGGGGAAGAAGTGTGAAGTTTATTTTGGACATACCCAAAAAGGAAAGTGTGAAGTTTATTTGGGACCGAAGGGAGTATTTTATTTAGACCACAAAAGCCGGACGTTTGTGATTAAATTCGAAAGTTTACGAGAAATTTTCTACGTAAGCTGGCCATTTTTCACAAATGTCAACTGGTCTTCTTCCTCCTCCTTCTCCTCCTCCTCCTCCTAACTTATGAAACTTTAGCTATTCGTGACATGGGTTAATTATAATATACTTCCTCTGTTCGGTAACTTATGAAACTTTAGCTATTCGTGACATGGGTTAATTATAACTAGATTTTCACCCGCGCGATGCGCGGGACATATACTAAATAATAATATTAAGTAATTAGTTGTTTCGTATTAGTTGTTAATATAAAT